AAGAGAACCCCGAATCTTAATGTGCTGTGTAACTGGGGGGATCATATGCACTGAAAGAGAAAGCTGGACCCTAGAGAGAGTGTTTTAGGTGCAAAAGCAACGTGGGATATTTGTTTTAAGATAGTGAAGAAATACTTGAATTTCTGATACATTCTGATGGGAAAGTATTTTTTTTAAGACTGTATTCAAAAACTCCAGGATAGTTGTACACAGGGTGTATTTACAGGGTGCCTTAAAAATCACGTGAGCCTGCTTTACAACTTAACAAGGATTTTGTTTTGAAATGTTCTGGAGTTCTTAAGAACCCATACACTTGAATCTGACATTTCTTTAATGACACACTTTAAAATCCAATCTATAGTTTTGAACAAATGGGACTATTTGCAAATTCTTGGGATTTTTCTCTATTACTTTTAAATGGCAGTAATGAAATTTAAAGAGTGACTGATTAGATAGAGCTGTTTTAGAAAAATGTGGAAATACTCGTTAAAGATATCTTTTTTTAATGTTTGTTAAGATAATCAATGTTTTTGGCATTTATTGAGAAGTATCTTTTTTTCCAGTTTTTTTAATTGGATATTTTATTTATTTACATTTCAAATGTCATCCCCTTTCCCTATTCCTTCCCCCAGAAACCTCCTATCCTATCCCCCCTCCTCTTTCTTGCTTTTTTTTTCTTTATTAGTATTTTAAGCTAACATACAAAGTACTGGGTTTTATTACAGCATCCTCATGCATGTGTCATTAGAGTTCTGATTTATTTCCCTCTGCCCCTTCCCTTTCTTCCTCCAGCTAGTTTCCTCATCTGATTTCCTGTCACATGTATTCCATCACCCTCCCTCATCATCCTTTTTTTAATCTGTAACTTTTTTAAAAATGTTAATCAAGTGCTCAATAACAAGATGCCCATACAATCAGAAGTGTAACCCAATACCCGACCTAGATATACCAACTATCTTTGACTGGCGGAGACACAAGAACATTCACCTCCAAGGTCCTCAACCCTCTCATCTCCTAGCTCCTCCTCTCATTCTCCTCCTCCTCTCCTTACTCCTCCTCTTCCTCTCCTTATTCCTCCCACCTTAGCTCCTCCTACATATCACCCTTCCTGTTAAAGATATCTTGTTATACTTAATTTAACTGATTTAACACACATTCTGTCTCTCTGTCTCTGTCTCTGTCTCTCTCTCTCTTTCTGTGTGTGTGTGTGTGTGTATCCATGTGTGCACAGCCATCTATGTGTTTGCAAGTGCTGTGGCTCTCATTGAATATGTGGAAATCAGCATATTCCAAACTCCAGATTCCAGAGATAGAGCTTAGGCTACCTGGTTGGTTGGCAAGTGTCTTAGCCTGAAGAGTTGTCTTGCCAGTTCAGTGATAAGAATTTAGTATGAGTTACAGTGCACCGGACATGTGCAAAACATATCGTTATATCATGGACTTAAAAGACTGAGGGTTTTTGGTGAACTACTGTGTTTTAAAGGGACGAGTGACAAATCTAATAGGTCATAATGTGTTCAGAGCCTGAGGTCAGGCAGTTTTGTTTATTTCTAAAACATGTGTCTTGTGTCCTTTATAATAAAATAGATTGCATCATAGTAGGCACCAAGTATATATGTTTATAGCCCCACAAAAGCAACGGTTTATTTCAATGTGCAGTTTCTTAATTTCTCGGCAGGTCAAGGATATTTTTGAGAAGTGTAAGAAATTTGTTGATTTGTGTGCATATAAAATTTCACACAATCCCAGGTACCCAGCAGTATGGAAAACCTGGGATTGTGTGACCTGTAGGTCACATCTGAATTTCTTGAGTGATAAGCTAGAATTTGAAGTATAAATGGCACACTTGTGCAATCAGAAAACAGCAACCAAATAGATGGATTCACAGAAGCACTTTCTCAACTTTGACAGAGAAACAAAGTATCTTGATGACAAATTGTCCGGTGACATTTGCATGAGAGTAATTTATTTAATGATGTACTTTGAGCATTGTGAATTAGCTTTCTCTATGCTTACTGCTTGATCAGAAGTGATATCAGAAAACAGAATTACTCTTTGGTCTAGCCAGCACTTGTTTGCAGAAATGGAAATAACTAAAAACTGGGTTCAGACCTCTGAGCACCATACCTGACATAATCCCTGGCTTCTCGTGCACATACAAAGGCACACACACCCATGTACCTACATGTGCTCACAGACAAACATGCACATTTACACATGCACTTGTATACATACAGAAAAGAACCCTGCTGCAACAGACAGCTTCAGTGAGGCATGCAACTCATTATCTCAGAATCCAGGTGTATGAGCACATGTGTCCACGGGTACAAGCACGCATCCCCATGCATGCTGGAGCCAGAGGAGGATGCCGGAGATCCTGCTCTATGATGCTACTGGGTTGCTATAGTGACTTTATTGCTGCCTTCTTAACTATTCAACAGTCCTCCCACAGTGCCTGGCATTCTAGATATTCAAGTCACCTCTTTGATTCAAGTTCTGGGATAATTAAGTAGAGTTATAGTAACATACAGGTTCTGGGACATTACTGGAAACTGCATGACACCATATAACACTTGCGTGCTTGTGTGGTGGGAAAAAAAGTAAAAAGAAAAAAGTTAAAAAGAGAAAATCCAGAGTTGACCAAGAAATGTCCCACTTGCTTTGGCTGGTTTTGAGGATCCTCCATATCTTGAGTGTCTACTTTTTCCACTCTCAGAGGGCTTCTGTCTTAGGGTTTCATTGCTGTGAGGAGACACCATGACCAAGGCAACTCTTATAAAGGGGTTGACTTACAGTTTTAGAAGTTCAGTTCATTATCATCATGGTGGGAAGCATGGCATCATACAGGCAGACTTAGTGCTGAAGCAGCCAAGAGTTCTACATCTTGGTCCAAAGGCAGCAGAAGGAGACTAGACTCCACACTAAGTGAAGCCGGAGCACAGGAGACCTCAAAGCCCACCTACACTGTGACACACTTCCTCCACTAAGGCCACACCTCCTTTGACAAGGCCACACCTCCTCCAACAAAGTCACACCCCCCTAACAGGGCCACAACCTCCTATAGTACCACTCCCTATGAGCCAAGCATTCAAACACATGAATCTGGGGGGCCAAACCTATTCAGATCACCACAGTACTATATCAGACAGTTGTGAGGCACTATGTGGAATTGAACCTGGGTCCTTTGGAAGAGCAGCCAATGCTGGGAAGCACTAATGAAGTCAGTAGTTGTAGGACATGGATATTCAAAGTATCTTGAACATGGTTTTACTAAATGTCAAACAATGGCAGGCAGGCAGTGAAAGGGTGGAAACCCATCAGTTGTCACTTCAATATCTGAAAGTAAAAAGCTGATGCCCTCAACTTCCAGAGAAGCAGCTTTGGCGGAGGTTTTGTAGACAGTGGTCCACCCCACCATCTTGTGTGTGTACTATAGGTTTAAACCTGTTGTATCTTGTTTCCTCGTCACCACTTCATGTCCAACCTTCCATGAGCTTTCCTAAATCAATCCATTTCAGTTAAAGAAATGCACCTATTAAGCACACAGAGTGGCAAAAAGCACAAATGGAAAGCTACACCAAATCCTGAAAGTGGAACTCAATTGTTTGATTCAGAAAACACTAAGATAGCACCAATTAAACCCTTAGTTGCAGCATGCAAATAGTTAAAACCTGAACCTGAAAAAATCTCAACAGCCTTTCAGAACACATGGTAGACAAATCCTTTACTGCCCTGGAGCCCTCCCACCTCCCTCGAAACCCTTCTTTGATAAGTCCCCTTCTAATGGGCTCCTGATTACTACTTTTTTTTTTTTTTTGAGTCTGTCTTCATAGCCCTGGCTGCTTGGGAACTCACTGTGTAGACCAAGCTGGTCTGGAACTCACAGAGATCCACCTGCCTCTGCCTGTCGACTGCTGGGATCAAAGTCGAGAGCCAGTATTCTCATCTCTGATTAAGCTTTTAACAATTATTTGATAAGTCTAATGGCTAAGGTAATTTCTCATCTAGGGATACTTACAGGGGAGTTTGGGGAGAAGAGCAATTGTATTTTCTAAGATAAGTTTTAAAAGTTAATTCTAAATTGTTTTATGTCTTACTATTACCTGAAGTGAAACTAAAATCCACCCGGGGAACTAGAGTTGGCACAATGTAGACAGAATAGTAACTCTTTAGAAAGCACAATTCCCATTGGTATCTTGTACTAAAGTTTTGTTAGGGGTTCTGTTCCTGTGTCAGCAGCACAGACAACCGTCTCAAGTATGGGAGATTGAATTCGTACAGGGACTGACCAGACATTCGCGCGCACCCCACCACACACCATGAATTTCTCTCGGAGGTCTTGGTCTTGGCTACTCACAGAGTCTGGGTGCTGGGAGGTAGGCTGGGGATTCGGTGGAGCTCCTTGCAGGTGACCCTGAAGTCGTCCTCCTGGTGGCACTCGCAGGGTGGAGACGCACACCCTCTGCCTCGCAGACTCCTGGGCAGGGCGAGCAGCAGAGCGAGCTGCAGCAGGGACCCTGGCCTCATTTTCCAAAGGACCTCCTGTGCTACTTCATCGTTGCGCGCTGTCGCCACAGTCTCAGTGCCCTGCGTCTGACGCTGGAAGAGACCCGGGTGCGGGAGGGAAAGGGAGGAAGGAGGAGGGCTCCGAGGGGCTGTGACCTCATCGCTGGAGAGCACGCTGGAGAGGAGGAAGGAGAGGCTATCAAGTACTCCGCTTGCCTAGGCAACTCTCCATCCAAACAAGCCTCTTGCGGCTCTCCATCAGCCTCGCAGCTCCTTCTGTTCCGAGACACCCTACCTCGGTCCCCGTGTCGTTCCCTCCCTGCCACCCATTAGTTCTTTCTAAAGTCTACACGCCTTCCTCTCCCTTCGTCTCAGAACTCCGGAAGCCACATTTCCCGACTGAGCATCCTTTGAGAACGGTGCCAACCTGGGACCCACCCAAATGGGCTCCGTCTAATGTCACCACGGAGGGGACTGTTGTGGGACACTCTAGTGTCCTGCGGAACTTCGGTTTCTCCAGGTTAAAAGTCACCAGAGCAGACAACACAACCGGGGACAGCTAAGAGTGCAGCTGAAGGGGGTTGTGACACTCCGAGCGGATCCTCCACGCTGTCTAGCTGGAGCAGTCAGTGTCCGCCTCGCGCGCCTCCTCGGCGCTACTAAACCCGCTGTTCTGGAGATGCTGGTCTCTTCAAACCGAGCAACTCAGTGAAGTGAAGCCAGGAGCTGGGCTCTGGGGCCATCTGCTGTGGATAACTGGGAACTGCGCATGCCGGTTCCCCGCCTGCTTGGTAACAGTCTTGGTTTTACCTTAGGAGGGAAATCTGCTTAGAAGTCTAGACACTGTTTTCTTTCTCGTCCTCTCCAGAAATCCAGAGTGAAGAGAACACTTAACTGACACATTGCTCTTCTCACACTCACCTAGAATACTAGGTACAAATGTAAACTAGATCGTGTCAATTTTCTTCTTGAAAGTATAACTGCTTGCTAAGTTCTCTAGGAGCAAAAGGAATATTAACTCCTGATACCCTACACAGTTTCTTTTATACGTAACTCTAGAGCAGGAAGGAAAGGCCATGATGCTGGGAATAAAAAGAAACATGAAGAGAGAAGGCTCTAGAAATACAGGATGGGTTAGGCTGGAGGTTTAAAGCAGGTAAATATTAAGATTTATTGAACTGTACTTTTAAGATACATGCATCCCAGTGTTTGTTTATAGAAACTTTATTAATAGTCACCCCAACATGTAAGCAATCCCACATGTCCTTCAAGAAGACTGTGAATGCACAAACAGCATTTCATAGAAAATGAGTCGAGCGCTAGTTTACACAATATGTACAAATCTAGAACATGAATGACAAGCACAAGAAACTAAATTCACAGCATTATGTATTTTTATGTGATCATTCAAATACATGGCATTATGTGGTATTGTCAATGGAAACAAAACCAGGGCCGGGGGGCGAGCTCAGTTGGTAGAGTGCTTGCCTAGGATGCTCTAGCATGTTCAAGGTTCCAAAGTTGGTGTGATGGGATACTTTTCTAATTCCAGCTGTGGGAGTCAGAGGCAGGAGCATTAAGGTACTTGGCTACATAGCAAGTTCCAGGCCACACAGGTTCTATGAGGCTCCAAAGAGCTGAAATATTGAAAAGAAGGACGACAACAAACAGACACCCAGAGATTTTTCTGGAAAATGATATCGTTTCCAATCTTCCTTTTGCTGGACCCATGGCAATTTGTAAACGTGGAGAGTTATAATGCTTGCATTTTGAATGTTAAGCCCATCTTAAATCCAGGGATAAACAGCCTTTGACTTTTCTGAATGTATTCTTGCAGTAACTTTACTGAAATTCTATTTGAGTTTTGCATAAATGTGCCTAAGGAAAAGTGGCCTGTTCCTCTTTTTCTTTTGTATATTTTATTCTCGGCAATTGATTCCTTTGTCACAGAGTGAATTGAGAGATATTTTCTCTTTTCTACATTTCTATTAGGGTTTGTGTAGAATTGTTCTTAACTGGTAGAATTTACCAGTGAAACCATTTGAACACTGAGCTTTTCACTACAAATTGAACTCCTAAAAATAAATGTCATGTTACTCAGTTTCTTTCATTCTCTTTGAGGCAGTTTGGGTAGTTTCTGTGTTATAAAGGATTTGTTATCTATTCCTGAATCCATTGCCATAAAGTTGTTTACAGTATTCTATCTATCTATCTATCTATCTATCTATCTATCTATCTATCTATCTATCTATATCTATCTATAAAATCTGTTCTAATGCTGATTCTTTCATACCAAATACTGCCATTTTTGTGTCTTCATTCTGTTTTTCACATTGGCATATTTAGACATTTGTTAATTTCATTATAATTCTCAAAGCAGTGTATTTTCAGTTCATGGATTCACTATTGAATCTACAAGCTTCCCTATTCTAGTTCATCTACACTGGCTTGTTCACTTGGATGGTCATTGTACAGGTCTTGTTTAGGTGACCATATTGCTGAGATTTCATGGGTGCAGTTCCCTGTCATATATAGAAGTCACTATGTCTCAGAAGACATCCTGGTTCTCTGGTACTTACAATCTTTCCACCTCCCTCTCTCACAGTGTTCTCTAAGCTTTAAGTGTGGGGATTATGTTGTAGGTGCATCATTTGGGGGTTGGGTACCCAGTGGTCCTTAGCTTTCTGCATTTTGACCAACTGTGGTTTTCTATAATGTTGTCCATGTGTTGTCTTAGTTAATTTCCCCGCTGCTGCTCTAAAATAACCTGGGAAAAATAACTCGATGAGAAAAGGTTTATTCTTGTTCACAGTCCAAGAGTAAAGCCATCGGGAGATCAAGCTAGCAGGAACCTGAAGCAGCTGGTCACACACACCCACAATCAGGAAGGAGAGAGCAGTGGATGCATGCAGGTACGCAGTGCCTCCTTCTCATTTCTATAGTCCAGGGTCTCAGCCAGGAAATGGTGATGCTCACAGTGGGTGGGTCTTCCCACCTCAGTTAAACTCTTCAAGATAATCCCACACAGGCATGGCCAGAGGCAGTTTCTCCAGATGATTATAGATTTTGTTGACAACTAACACTAACCATCACGTATGTGTTTATGATTTTTGTCAAAATTGGAAAGTTTCAGCCGTATGTCTTTTGTGTTCCTTTATCATATGGCTTCTTTTTTAGGATTGCAACAGTTGCACCTATTGTATGCTGGCTGAAGTTGTCTGACAAACAAAATATTGAAACTTTTTTTTTTTTCAAGTGAGAGGTCCTAGCTTGACTGTCTCCATGACAGGCTGCAAAAGTTCAGGGGACTCTCAGATGTTGAAAACCTTCTCAGTTATAGTGACTAATTCAGTCAGTTACTTACCTGCAAAGTCATCCAGTTGTTGAGGTTTCAGATGGATGTCAGGGGCAGCTTGGTTAACAAAAGCCATGTTCACGGCTGATGGTTTTCTCGGACTTCTGAACCAAAGTGGGTACAGGTCCTATAGGCTACAAAAAGTCTCTTTAAATATTCTCTGGGGCTTTCATTCTTTCCCTGTGTCACCTGGCTTACCTCAGATAAATTTGTGGGTCACCTGGCAGCCTCTTGGAGGCTCCCCTTCAGAATCTGGCTGTAGACCCAGAGCCTCTCTTTATCTTCAGCAGAATTATAACCCTACCTAGTCCAGCAAGCCAAAGGGAAAGCCTAGTCAATATCAGCCAGTATCTGAGTAGGTAGTCCATTTGTCCCCAGAAATCTCTGAGGTCTGAGGAGAAAAGAATTCAATAGGACTCGCCTGTCATTAGGCCCCCATTCTAGTCCAATTAAAGGCTGGGGCCATCCCAGCCTGAATCAGGCAATACCCAGTGGCCCAGGGATATCTAGACTGTCTCTGAAGCATAGCCGCCACTGCTTTGCTAGTCAAGAACACTGACAAGACAACTGTGGGGCAGGAACTTGTTATCATCACTCCCCGTGCTATTAAGGGGACCCTAAAAAATCCACCTAGCCAATGGCTGTCCAATGCTAGGCTGGTATACTGTTTTTGAATTCTCCTCTCCCCAGTATAAGATATAATTCATCATCTGCCCTAAACCCTGCCACCCTGCTGCTGATCCCGTCCTTAGACATACTGCAGGATTGCTGTGTAACTCTGGGGCATGTTAAAAAAAAATTAGGTCAGACCTGACTGACATACTCTGGCTGGATGCTAAACACGTCTGCTTCACAGATGGGAGCAGCTTCATCCAGGACAGAACCAGGTATGTGGAGGCAGTGGTGGTGGACTCTGTCATTTGGGCAACCGCTTTGCTGCCAGGAACTTCAGCACAGAAAGCAGAACTTAAAAGCTCTAACAAGCTTTAAAACTGTTGAAGGGGGCCACAGCCAACATTTATAGTGACAGCAGATAAGCCTTTGCCAGGGCTTATGTGAATGAGCCCATATACCAAGAGAGGGTACTGCTGACTGTATTTAAAGGAAAAAAATCATCAAAAAAATAAGGAATAAATATTTCCTTTATCAGAGATATTATAGCTTCCCCTCAAGTTACCCATAATTCATTGCCTCAGGCATCAAAAAAGGACATCAGAAATAGCCTGAGGAAGCAGGCTAGCTGATAAAGTCACAAGGGAGGCTGCCCAGGCTTCCACTGGCCACATCCTAGTAGTCTTGCCACCCCCTGTGCTCCCAGCCATCCCACAATATACTGCTGAGGAAACCCAAATTAGGCCAAATGCAAGGGAATCTGTGGAAAGACGGATGCTTGCATACTTCTGAAGGCCACCCCATTCTACCTAAGGAGTTTGCTAAGCAACTCATCCATCAAATCCATCAGGTCACCACACCTGGGTCACTGAAAATTAAAAGAATTGCTTCGAGGGACAAAGTACAAATATATTGACTCGGGACACTTTGTTGATTGGGCAATCTCAAATTGCCCTACCTATCAGACTGTAAACCCCTCAGGCCTCAATCAAGGAACCCCAGGAACAAGAACTAGGGATCAATAGACAGGGGCCAATTGGGAAATAGATTATAC